CTTTTATTCCTCTCTATTTCTTAAAACCCATGTTGAAAAGTTTCTAAATTGGGTTTCCAGAAATTGAACTAAGATGAACTACCCATTTCCATAAAATTGAAGAACTGAATACCCAACAGAACAAAAACCCAAAAAACGAAAAAAAGAAAAAGAAAAAGAAGGCATAAAAATCAGACCCACATGGAATAATCACTACAGAGGAAAAGATCTGAGACAGAGGAACACCAAATGCAAAATTTTGACAAAGTTAATGAGACAAATAAGGAAATGTAACCAAGAAAAAGCAAAGAGATTGAGATCTGAGAAAACAAACCTTGAACTCTGGCTCTGTGGAAAATGGGATGTAATAATAACTTTGTGATTATGGTGGTGGATTCCTGCAAGACTTTCCCCGACTGTATTGACCCCTGTTTATATGCGCGACTGAGTGTGGGATCAAGATTCTGTTATTCGTCGATGCTGCGGAGATCTTCTATGTCGTGGTGTAAATTAAACTTGAATTGAAAACCAATAATAGTTCTCCACGTCAACCTTCTCAAAGTTTGATTTATTTTTGAAGAATTTAAATTACTTTAAAATTTCCATTAATATAAAATATTTATAAGTTTTTTATTTTATAATTTAAATTACAATATACTATAAATTAAAATAGTTAAATAGAGAAGAGTTTTAATATCAAGGAATCTTATCCCATAAATATTATTATGCAATTTAATATAATTTAAATTATATATCACTTTGACCATAAAACACTAAATAACTATATTTACTATTATAGTATACGTTGAAGGAATTAAGGGATGAGAGAATTTTTTAATTAATTAAATTATAATATTTGTAAATATAATAATAGAGTCATGAATTATCAAAACTAATTTTATTTCTTTTAGTATAGATATAAATATTAATCTAATGGTATGATTTTGTTTTTTCTTTTCTTTTTTAACAATTCACAACTTGGAGGTGAGACGGTTTGAATTCCAAATTTGGGGTTAGAGAGATACACCTTATCATAACTGTTGAGCTGTTGGGTTACGAGGTCCAAATGTAATCTAATAGTATTGTTAAACTGAAGGAAATACAAAGGAAGAGAGGAAAGGATTAAGTTTTTTCTTAATCAAATTATAATATTTTAAAATTTATCACTTCTTTTCTTTTATATTCAACCTAAATATATGATAAATAGTAAAAAAGAACTCTACCAATTACATTCAAATAAATTAATTACTTTTTAAATCTAACACTTAAATAGCACTCAGCGTGATCCAATATCACATTTGACGCATAATTTCTTTGCTTCTTCATTTGTGAAATAAAATATGGATGTTCATAGGAAAAATGAAATAAAATATGGATGAATTTCACACTAAAAAAAATAGGTTAAATACCCTTTTTGGTCCTTCTACTATAGGAAAAAACCCCTTTTTAGTCACTGTACTGAAAAAGTCCCCTTTTTTGTCCCTAAATTTTAAAATCCGGCTCTTTTTTGGCCATTTTGTTAAATTTTGCTGGCGTGGCACGTTATCTTAACAGCAACATTCGACGTGGACATTCCACACTATAAAGATGCTTATGTGGACTTTAATGAGTCACTTAATGACTCTCGCAAACCCTAAGCAATGTTTGCAGTTCCCTCTCCAGCTATCATCTTCCTTCTTTCAAAATTCTTATTTTTCATTTATAATCAATCTTTTATATATGAGATTGATCAAGATATAATCCACAATTCAATGAATATTTTTGTTGTTAAAAAATAAAAATTAATTACTAATTAAAATAATTTATCAATACTTTAAACATTAATTTCTGCTCTGCAAAATAGCTGCTTCACTTTACTCATAGCAATATGAACACAACAACATCAACCTATTACCTGTAATTTCAAACCCAAATATCGAACATATTTGACCATGAAATTTTGGTTTCATTTAGCTCCTTTATGGAAGATATATACATTCAAAATTAAAAAAAAAAATGAAACAAAAAAGATGGTCGGAGGAACCCAGATCTAGGTTCCACTGGAAACCCAAAAACTAGGTTCTTCGGAGAACCCAGAGGAACCCAAAAACTGGGTTCTTCGAAGAACCTAGAAATGGGTTCCCCGAAGAACCCAGTTTAAGAACCCAGTTTAAGAACCTAGATCTGGATTCCTCAAAAAACCCAGTTTCTGGGTTTTCGGCGGAACCCAGTATGATGAAGACTTGAAGTTGAAGAGGATGGTGGATGCCGAGGATGAGAATGAGGAAGATGAAGAGGCTGAGGAGAAAGAAGAAGATGAAGAAATTAAAATTAATTTCGTTTAAATTCTTTTTATTCATGGATTAAGAAGTTTAGGAGAAAAAAATATTTAATTCCGATTAATTAAAATATTTAGTGTTTTTTTTGCCATGTGGTATTAAAATATTTAAATGAAATGTCCACATAATTTCTATACCATTTATAATATTATTTATATAAAAAATAATTAATTAATTCCGTTAATTAATGTGACTCATCAGCAAAAATTTAACGGAAGAACCAAAAAAGGACCGGATTTTAAAATTTAGGGACTAAAAAGGGGATTTTTTCAGTACAGGGACCAAAAAATGGCTTTTTCCTATAGTAGAGGGCCAAAAAGGGTATTTAACCAAAAAAATACTACATCACATTCAATTTTGTTTTTAACTGATTACAATTTTGGGGAGGAATTTTAACCCTTATGATGGGAATCAAGATGACTCCACATGGACCACGTTAAGAGATCCATTACACATTCCAAGAGGTCTAGTCATGAGAGCTAGAGTTAGGAAGATGCGAAAAGCTTTAAATGGCCTTATTGAGCAGATATGGGTTGATAACAACATGCAACAAGTAAATTGAAACTTGAATGATTATCAAGGCATGGTAAACATCATTCAGGTTCAAGAGAAGCTTAATTGAGGTCATTTATGCTAAATTACACAGTTTGCATCAAAATCCCACAATTCTGTCGCAATTTGTAGCAAACTGATATTTCATGTTACTTTAGGTTACTTTCAACAATTTTCACGTTTTTTATATTATTTTGGACTAAACATTCATTTATTTGAGGCCTAATTCGTGGTTATTAGGATTAGGGCTCAGAGTGTTAGTTTTTCTATTTTGATTAGAATTACTTTTTCCTATTTAAAGGGCTTGTAACCCTAATTCGGGGGAGCTATTGAATCTGAGTTTTTGAGAGACTTTTCTCTTTGGTTCGTTTTAGAACTTTACAAAACTTATCAAGATTATTCTTGTGGCGTTCTAACCTGACTTATCATTCTCATTCTGAATTGTTTAAGGGTGTGACATCAACCGACTTTATACCTTTGGTTCTTGTTGCGTCATAGACAACGGGTTAAGGTTTTTACTTTTGGTTCTTGTTGTGACATAAACAACAGGTTAAGGTCCTATTATAAATCTGATTTGGTTTTCCTAGAGTTTTGAAATCCCTTATCGTGTTATGGGTCTCATTGTTCTCTTTGGGGTTCTCATCGTCTTGGTATCAAAGCATCAACTCCTAAATCAAGTTTGCGTATATTTAATTTTCAGTTTTTATAGTCAAAATCAAAACAAAAAGGTTAAATACCCTTTTTGGTCCCTCTACTATAAGGAAAAAGCCCCCTTTTGGTCCATGTATGAAAAAATCCCTTTTTTGATCCCTAAATTTTAAAATCTGACCATCTTTTAATCCTTTTATTAATTTTTGCTCATGTGGCACGTTAACTTAATTGGAACAGCTGACGTGAATATGCCAACATGTAAAAGATGCTTACATAGACTTAATGACACCCTCCATGTTACCCTCCTTGCGCAAGACCAAAAAAAAAAAAAAAAGATTAAATGCTAAATTTGGTCCCTCAACTTTATAAGTTTGTACTTTTTTGCTCCTTAAATTATTTTTTTTCACTTTTTTATCTTTTAACTCTAAAAATTACACAATTTTGGTCCCTCCGTCAATTAAGCATAATGTGACAGTTAAATAATTCCATTTGACATTTTCTTTTAATTTTTTTCATGACATGGCAATTATATATATTATAATTATGTTATATAGATAAATAAAAATGCCCCACATAGATAAATATTTATATTTTAATTAAAAAAATAAAATTATATTATTACCCTCACCTCCCAATCCCTCTTCTTCCCCTTCTTTCTTTCTTTCCTACCCAGATGTCACGCCCCAAAACTCAAATCCGAGGCGCGACAGACGCCGTGCACTCGTGAGAAGGTCCCATTAATGCACAAGGCTCGGAACTTATTCAAATCACATCTGACCATCCAATGACTCAAATCAATTATTTCAAAATCTCTAGATCAAATCTCTTATAAGCTAACAATCTGCGAAATGAATTTGTATCTCAAATCTATATCAATTACAAGTGGCTAGCCTTCTAACTCGTCACTCCCCTTGGTTTCCCCGTCCTCGGTTTCGCATCCTGAAATGGTGGACAAGGAAAACTATGAGATAAACTCAGTAAGTAAATATGGATAGCCCTTGGGTAAAACTTTTAACATGCCAGATAAACCATTCAATATAACAAAACGCTTAATGACAAAAATCAGATTCAGTTCAATAACAAAACGTTTCTTGACAAACCGTTAATGCAAAAAAAAACTCAGTTCAGTAGTCTCATCTATAAGTCATGGCCAGTGTTATAACAACCCACTGGCAGGCGACAGAAATTTGCCAATGTATTCGCCTAGTGGTAGGCGTCAGAATAAACCGATCATATCAGTAAACATGTCGACATGTGCTAGCGTTACACCCACTAGCGGGGATCG